AATGAAACAAAATTAAATACGAAATCCAACATGATAAATATTGTCCTAGGAGGCTAAGAGTAGGGAAGATCGCTTGAATAAGAGATAATGTTATATTTACTTTTAATAAAAACATAACAATATGCCATACACAATAAATAATAATCATTAAATATCACAACTACAATAATTACATTTCTCCATTATGCATCAATTTTTTCATGTTAAGTTGACATTTGTAGACCAAAACTTCAGAATTATTTTATTACCAAATAGCTCCTAAAGAAGTTGTACCTGCGTGAAATAAAATATAACAATTTTCAGAAGCTAACCTGACTGAATGCAGGAGTATAGTCATGTTTAAAATTCAATTTCTTCAAAAGAGGTATGACATCAGAACTCTGCGGTTAAGTGATGCGTGGAGCCTTTACTCTGTTAAGCGGAATAAATGTAACTCTACCACCTTTCTGTGAATTAAGATGTCTAATTATCTGGGTTGACTTGTCATCATTTTCAACAACAACATGGAATAAGCTGTTCAAACAAAGATGTTAAAAATATAAAACATTACGCCAAATGTGCAAAAGTTTAAAACCAGTCAAGAAATTAGCCCAACAAAGGACTGAAAATAAAAATATTGAACAACTACATGCTAAAGATGAGGCAAATTCTCCTTTCTCTCCCTTCACCCAAAACAATGTAGGAAAATTTACTTAATGCAACAAGTGGTATTAAAATAAATATCAGTGAGAAATGACCTGTTTCCTGCCGTAACTTCAACGGCAGTGAAAAACTTTTCATCACAATTCAGCAACTCAATAATTGGACCATGAACTCCAGAAATATTATACTCCCTGCAAATCTTCCTAACTGAATTCAGCCCTCTTCTCACATCCTGAAGTCATAATAAATCCAAATATCATGATAGTTAACCCTAACACTCAACAGATAAACAATGGAATAAGATCTAAGTACCCGTACACATTCAAAAAAATATATACACGGACTTGGACTCATACTCGTGTCGATAATAATTTTAATCATCTTACCCCTTACCAGTTGGATATCTATTTAAGCATATCTGTATATGCTACCCACATTTTAATTAACTTCAACAGAGTAATCAAACAAATATTCAAGTATGCTTTCTATAAAAGATTACAAACATAATACTTATATAATACACTTCCACAACAGTAAATTTATAAATATTCAAATCCAATGCAGCAAATGCACACCACTTATACAACAAGCCGTAACCTATTTGCATTGGTTGAGTTAAAATTGTGTTAGATTGCTGTAAATATAGCAAGAATGAACATTTTCACTAACTAAATTTATATATACTTGTTATTACCCTAAAATAGGGTAACTGAATGTTTTGTTATTATGTTTTCACCCTTATAAATTTAATAGATCTGTTGTTGTTAGGAATGAGAAGAGTTGGAGAGTTTATGAGAGAAGGAAAAGAATGAGTTAGTTGAGCAACCCAACTGCTTATTACAGTTGGGTAGGGTGGGAATAGCTGTTGTATAAATAGTAGAGGGGTTAGTTGTTTGGGGACTTTTGACAGTTTGACAGTTAACAGGATTAAGCCTGTGAAAGGGGTTAAGCCCTTGCTATTGTGAGTGTACAGACTTGTCATTGTGAATAATATCCAGTTCTGTTTACTTTCTTTCTGGTTTCTTGGCGCCTAAGTGTTGTTTCTAGAGGGTCTCGAATAGGTTTCTTTATTCGAAACCTATCAGTTGTGGTCTATAAACATTAAATTTACCCTATCCTCCCTTTTCTCCCTCTCAACCTGTTATTATAGTCCAACAAGATGCCGATTTTAGGATATCCCAAAGAACACATCTATTTGTGTTCTAATATTTTGTTACTTGGTTGTGGTTAGATGGGCTCCAACAAAATAACAAAGTCAGATTATGCTCTTTTATAGTCTCTGTTTAAGAGACTCAATCTTAATTTTCTCAGAAACTCCTAAATGGATGTTGACTTACACAGGTTGCAACCTTGTCACATTTTAGTGTTGTACTAAGTGGTAGCAAACCAGCAATTACTCAACTCATTTACAAAATCAAAAAATTAAAAGCATTTTCCAACAGAACAAAATGATTTTATATCTTCTATCATTCTAAGTGTCGCATAATATATGGAAGAAAAGTGTTTCTGCAATTCCCTTCATCTATATGCTGCATAAAAGATGTGAAAAACCAACAAAAGCCATGTCAAAATCTTTCATATACTTTAGAGAGTCATAACACTGTTAATTCACATCGAGTAGGTTATAAGTTAAAATAAAACTCTACACTGAATAAGCCCGTATTAGGCTGTACATGTTGAAAGATGCAATGCCTAGAAATACCATGTTGAGAATGCTTGATAATTTAATGGTATTTACGAAAAGGGATGTAAAAGAAGCTACAAAAGAGGGATTACTCACACCAGGAATTGCATGATCAAGATTCTTTTCAGCCTTCTCAACTTCTGCACTCAGCTTATCAATTTCAGCAGTAATTTCATTCTCCTTTGTCCATAGGGACCTAAAATGTAACAATTTAATACACTCGTTAGCAATATTATATTTACTCGCAGTTTACTGTGTTCCTCCTTTCTGCTGTTGGTTAGGAGGGCAGGTATCCTACACTTTCAGTGTACTCATTCTTTAGTGTACCTAATTCTTCTTTAATCTGGGAAAATGTATATTTAGAAATTTAAAATAAAAAACGGTGACAAAAGGAGGACTTTTACATACTTCCTCTCAAGATTTAACTTGTCTCTCTCCAATTTGAAATGATTAAGCCCTTTAAAGGACTCAGCAATGCCAGATTCGAAAACAGTAATATCTGATTTACGTTTATTTATGTTTTCATCACAATCACGCAGTTCTTTTTTAAGCCGATCAATTTCATCCAAAAGCTTTTGCTCCTGCAGACCAAAACAACAATTAAAAACATGGGAGCATGGTTTAAAAGATCACTATTCATTCAACAGAAGATAAAAATAATGATTTAAATTTGAAAATACAGAAATAAATAATGGAAATTATGGCAAGAGTCACGACCTCATCCAAAGTTACTGAGAATACTCATATGTCAACACTAACAAGTTGAGCACCATTACATCAATACAGCATAGAAGAGATATAGCAATAAGGAAAAAAATTAATGACTATTAGTGAGAATTATCGGCTGAGATATTGATAGTGTTGGAGTAAATTGTTAACTTGAGTCCCCCAAGATGACCAATGTATAAGGCAAAAATTCCATAAACTTATTGCCTTAAAGTTTTAGATTAGAAGTACTATCATGTTTTCTTATGTAGTTGGTTCATGACCATATGTTGCTCACCCTCATGGAACACAACAAACTAGTAACAAAGCCAGTTCTGTTCTGGTAATCGACAAGTACGTCTGGATAATTTGCTGTAGAAGTACAATATGCCAGACAACATGGGTAACATTGTAAAAGTACTTTTGTGCTTCCGCTATAGGGGTAGTGTGTATAATTATGGAAGAAACTCATACTTANTACATCAATACAGCATAGAAGAGATATAGCAATAAGGAAAAAAATTAATGACTATTAGTGAGAATTATCGGCTGAGATATTGATAGTGTTGGAGTAAATTGTTAACTTGAGTCCCCCAAGATGACCAATGTATAAGGCAAAAAGTCCATAAACTTATTGCCTTAAAGTTTTAGATTAGAAGTACTATCATGTTTTCTTATGTAGTTGGTTCATGACCATATGTTGCTCACCCTCATGGAACACAACAAACTAGTAACAAAGCCAGTTCTGTTCTGGTAATCGACAAGTACGTCTGGATAATTTGCTGTAGAAGTACAATATGCCAGACAACATGGGTAACATTGTAAAAGTACTTTTGTGCTTCCGCTATAGGGGTAGTGTGTATAATTATGGAAGAAACTCATACTTAATGGGGAGATTATTGGTGTAAAGTGAGTTAAAGTCTCACGTTCAATAGACATAGGCAAGATGAGCAAATATAAGGAGGACCCATAAAACTTCTATCTTAAAATTTTTAGTTGACATTGGTGTCATATTCTCTTATGTAGGTGGCCAATGACTCATTGATCAGAGATCTACCATAGGATAATGGTATCAGAGTTAGTCTCATCCTGGTGACTGAGAAGTACATTAGGAATTATTTATGTGCTACCACTGGATGGGGAGCACGTACTAATGTGGAAAGGATATTCATATATATATATGTTGCGCCACTCTTCACAAATCCTAAATAAATCAAGAGGCTATATAGTCTTTCAAGTCCTTGAAAGTAGTTATCACCTTCTAGTCAGTCCATATAAATGTCGAAACTAAAAACTAGACTCTAGTAATTGTTGATATGTAATGTATTTTGGTAGTAGGCTTTTTAGGAGCCTTCTGTTTTTGTTTATGCTGAACTACTATTCCTTTCTTATATAAGTATGATTAGTGATGTATTAGGGTTAAGAGAAAATTATAATGAAGTTTTTGGTTTCTCTCCCAACTCTTAAGTGTAATATCCATCTTTCACGTTAGTTCTTTATATGGATAATGTTAGTTAACAAAGTTCATTGACATCACACGTTAAATGATGGGTGAGTTGTCACCTGCCATGACAAATTCAGGCAAGGTGGCAACTAATATGTCACTTAACATGCCATATCAGCAAACTAACTCTATTAAAAAGGACAAATGCGAAAGAAAGGTCTCACTCTCTTATTACTAAATTTTAGTTTTGATGCTTTTAAGGACGTCGGCAACATTAAATGACAGGTCAATTTCCGCCTATCATGCCAAGTTGAGGCAAGGAGGCAACTAATATGTCACTGATCTTATCGCATCATCAAACTAAATCTATTACAAAGACAAATGTGAAAGATAGATCTTACTCTAGGTTAGTTTCGACTCTTTTAAGGATTGACAAGAAGGCAACATACAATTCATGTATCCGAAAAACCATTCAATCTTATTGAATAGATTTCCTTCTTCAATTACCCCCTTCTCCCTCTCCCCCACACTCATCCTCTTATCCTCTTATCCTCTTTTCCTTCTTCCTTCTTCCTTCTTCCTTCTTAGTGTATATTGGTTTAATCTTCATGTTTGTTCATCTTACTTGAAAAAACAAGGAAGAAAAAGCAATGTATTCAACCTTCATTGGTGTGATTTTAATTTATGTATATATAGGAGTTACAAAGTAAGGTATGACACTTACCTTAAACCTTAACCCTAAAGTTCGATACATACAAAAGAAATAATATTAAAAGAACATCAATTTTTAACACTCACTCGCAAGCTTAAGCATACAAGTCATAGCCCAAAGATTGGAACATAGATCCTCTTAGAGATTTAGTTAGAATGTTAGTGAGTTGATCGTTAGAACTCAAACTCATTAATAAGATCCTTGCACAAGAACTTCTCTTTACCAAAATCACAATCAATCTTTGGATGTTTAATTCTCTCATAAACACCAGATTGGAGGCAATATGAAGATCATGATTGTAACAATATAACTTCATCTGCCCATTTTCAACAATCTTCAACTCTTGAAAGAGGTTACAATTAGCTAGGGCCATAGATTTATACACAACTTCTGCACTAGATCAAGTAACTACACTTTGTTTCTAACTTTTCTAAGATTCCATCCAAGGAATAAACAATATCTGGTGGTATATCTCCTACCAATGGGACAATCAGCCCAATCTACGTAATATCCAAAGACTTGAGTATTTCCTTTATTCTCCTATACCAATCATTGTCCCGAGGTCCTTTTATATATCTAAGAATCCAAATCATAGCATTTCAATGATCAATGTTGGCGTTCTGCATAAATTGAGTTACAACTCCCACCAGATAAGAAACATCAAGTCTTATTACAGTGAGATAAATGAGTATTTATTTGTACTAACCTCCTAAATCTCTATGGGTTTGGAAAAAGTTCAATTTGGTCTCTCATTAACTTCATATTTGAGTCCATATATCAATGGGCTTGCAATTTGCCATGCTTATCTCCCCCAAAAAAATAAAAAGCATATTGTCATTGTGAAATCATGATACCTTTGATTGCACCACTTCAATATCAAGAAATACTTTAGATAGCCCAGATCTTTGGTCCAAAAGTGGTAAAAATAAATGCTTTTTTAATTGAACAATTTTATTATTCTAATTTTCTTTAATAACAATATCATCAACACAAACCATAAGATAATCACACTTCCGAAGAGAAGTATGACAACAAAACACTAAATGATTTGTCATGTTCGTTTCAATCCAAAAGTATATACAATTTTTTAGTGTAATAGTGGATATTATAGTTTTATATTTAGCTTTATTATGGAATTAAAATGTAGAATAAGTATGCTATTTATTGGTATTTTAACACTTTTTAACATTAAATATTCTGAATGTATAAGTTGTGCTTATGGAACCCCAAAGAGTTTACTTGAAATCTCAATTTTTACAACGATGATAGCCAAACAATGTTTCGGGATGGGGAGCCTCCCATGATTTTTAATTTTTTTTATTCCCTAATAACACACTGCATCTTAAATACGATCATTCACAAGATATAATCACCTTGTTATCAAAAGCTATCTAAAGAAGTTGGCAAAAGTAGGTAATAATTCTCCCAAATAGACATATGCATTCAATCTGTTAATCAGAAAAAACATTAATTAAAATAAGCATATACAACAGGGTAGGAAAATGATTTTGTTATCACACTTAAAATTAATAGAAATCAAGATTAAATAAAAACAGACATCTTCATGTCATGAATCTGTTAAAAGAGTGTTTAGGACAAAATTAATTAGAGCTCACATAGATAAATGAATACTTGCCTGCCCCTTATTTGAAGAATGCACTCGTTCAAGATCATCAATCTCCTTTTGAAGCCACTTATCACGAGCAGCTTTACTTGAAAACTGGGTAGCTCGACCTTGCTTTTGATAGAGTATACTGAGTTTCTTTTCACGCTCCATTATTCTAACAATTCATTTATTTAAGAGAAATACTGATTAGACCTGTTGAATATCCTCAATAAATGATAGAAATATGTGCCAAAACATATACTAGCTATAAACATGTAACAAATATTAAAGAATTGTAGAATGGGAATATTATGCGGGGTTGTTGGGTCAAGTTAGTTTGCCCTAAGCAAGCTGGCAAGTGACATCGAGTTATATTATCTCTGTTCTAACTTGTAACAGAATGCTAAGAGAATGAAATACACTTTTTCTTCTTTCAAAATTCTGTCTCTAAAACTCTTTGTAAACTTCGACACAGTTGGGTATCAATATCCTGGCCGAATACTGTACTCCATCTTCTTCCTCAAACACTGTCACTCATACCCAATCTCAAAGGAACTTAAGTCAAGTTAGTTCACCCTAACTAGCTGGCAAGTGACATTGAGTTATATAATCTCTGTTTTAACTTGTAACAGAACGCTAAGAGAATGAAATACTCTTTGTAAACTTTGACACAGTTGGGATCCAATATCCTGATGGCAGTATACTCTACTCTATCTTCTTCCTCAAAAAATGTCTCTCGCACTCGATCTCAAAGAAACTTAATGACAAGAATTTTCTCCTATGCCAACAACAAGTAGAACCTATAAGCCAGGCTTAATGACTTCAAGAATGTTGAATCAACATTTCTAAGTGACTAAGATTCATTTCTGATTTCTTAGTGAAGCCAACTGCAACGTTGCAAAAGTTAGTCCAGTGTACAAAGCCTAACAACATCAGAAAATACTCTTATCACGGTTTCAGTCTTCACTTTATAGTTCCCTTCTCTCACAAGCCTTTTTGTGAGCAATGCATATCATGTTAAGGATAAAATTCTTGACTTTTTTCAAAAGCAATGCACAAAAGTACACAGCTGCATACATAACTGCAATCTACAACACTCTCCTTCACATCAAAATGCTTGCTGATGCGCTTGCTTCAATTGCGATCCAATTTCACTTCAAGAACATATTTCAATTGTCAGAAGCAAGTGTAAACCTCTTCCTATTGAAGAAATCAATGTGTTATTCTTGCTCATTAAATGCAACTTCAGAAGTTTTTCCAGGAAGTTCTATATGATTTGCTAAAGTTCATCTTACTCGAGCACTGTCCAATTCTCCTAGTCACAACCACCTCTAAGAGGTCAGAGATTGTAATTCTTGCAGTCATTATTGCAGTTACTTCGCTAACATGCAATGCAAAGTATGCTTCAAATATGGTCATATTGCCTCAAAATGCTAACACATAAACAATCCTGTATTATTTCAGAATCTTGCATTACTTGGGTCTCCCAAAAACATAAGAAACCCCGCGTCAATATCAGTAACTCCAGCCCTGCGACCAGCACAGCCTGGTCCCCTAAGGTGCCTCACATCATATCAACTTGGATCCTTTATAAGGAAAGGACCAGATTCACATTAGTAATAGACATGGTCAGCATATTACCTCCTTCTGTTCTTACTTTCCCTCCCATCTTAAACTTACTGTCGTACTCCAATTACATAATTTGCTTATAACAAAAAACCTAGTGAGTAAATTTTCCGAAGACAACTGTATTTTTCAAGTGTCATGCTGATGGCTTGAACCAGTTTTCAAATCTACATTAGCATCCACATTCTCAAGTTTCTCTTTCTGCTAGGTGTATAATTTATAATTCCGTTTCTTGTGCTAACTCTTCAAATATAATATTTCCCCAGTCCCATCTTCAAATGGCTTTCACTATTATATTTCTTTTGTTGAAAGCAGTACAAGCATGTTAAAGATTAAAAAATATATTTTACTGTCCTATATCCTACCTAATCCAAGATTATAGCTAAATGAGACACTAAAAGAGATAAGATTATTCCAGTATAATAGAGTGCACTAAAATATGTAACTACCATGTTAAAGAGTCATAGACAATAAACTAGGAGAGTTAGATTAGATACAGTGAGCTGATTCAAGCAAATAAACGATACATTCAACCATAAACATACTGCATGGCAATGTCTTTTTCTTTCTGAATTTGATCCTCATGTAAGGGAATGATTTTGCCCAGTTCAATGGTTGAATCTTGAATTTCTTTCTCAAGTATCTCCAGTTGTCTTGCAGCATCTTCCTGAAAGCATGTAAGAAAAAGATGAGCCATGTACAAAACAATCCCATCAAAAACAACTCACAAAAGGTCTTCTTCAAATTAGTACCTTGGCTCGGATGTTTCCAGAGTTCTTCTCTTGCAAGTCTTTGACATCAAGCTCAAGTTCTGTGTGCTTCTTTAATGCAACTGTTCGTCGCTTTTCAATAGCTTCTTTTTCTTTGTTAAAGTTTTGAAGTTCTTTTGATACATCTTTTAATGTATTCTCTAAATCTTTGGATTTCTCATGGGCATCAAGAACATCATTATACTTTTTTGCTGATGTTTCAGAAACCTTGGCCCGAACATCTTCTATCTAAAACAAGGTGACAAGCATTCAATTATAGAAATCAGAATAACAGAAAAGGGATTAAAAATGTCTGAACAATAAATATTTGACACTCAATATTATGATTGACATAAGAATCAGCAGAGAAAATAAAAGTGTACAACTATAAACTCCAAATAATTGTATCAAGTATATAGCAGGCCTTTTACCAGTATTTATAGCAAGAAAGAGGAGCCAGGGATATCAAGGCAATTATGAATGGACCCCAGGGTCAAATTGAGAAATCAAAAGATAGAAAGTGAAATAGCACAGTGGACAACTGCCAGAACACCAATTGTGTAGAAGTTAGGGTTTTCCGTGAGGTGGATGACTTGGGAATAAAAGGAGAAGGAAAGCAGAAAGGAATCAGAGGAAAATGAAAAGAAGGAAATTTGAAATTGGAGGAAAAGTTGAGTTCGACAACAGTTCTGCATGTCACAACCCTCTAGACCATATGTGATTATCTTAACCAAAGTTTTCTAATTTAACTTTCATGTTATAATTTTATTTTCACTGTTTACAAGATTTCCTCTATTGGTCATCATCATTTATTCAAACTCGAAGCTCTATCATCAGAAAACTATTTTCACAGTAAAAATAAAAATGTTCTCAGTACAAAAAGTGACTTACAGATGTTAGCCTACTCCAATAATATTATATTATTATTATTAGTTATTTATAGTATACATTTGAAATATTAATATTCGGCACACAGTTTACAAACACTTGTGTTTATAATTGTACCGAACACATAACCCAATCTAACATGTCATTTCGATACCCAACACGAGTCTGTAGCAAAGTACCCAAACCCACACACAAAATTATAATATGGAGACATTTGTTTGAGTTTAGATCATTTTCAAGAATGTTGATAAGCATATATTAG